ATTTTATTATTTAATATAATACAAATTGTAAAATAAGGGATTCTTCTTCTTTATACTATCATTGATCTTTTTCTTACATCTTTTTTTCATGTCAATACTTTAAATTTAGAGCTCTAAATAAATTTTTGGACAAAAAAAAGTATCGAGAAAAAGACATCTTCCCATCCCCAAATTTTGAAATGTTCAAAAAAAAAATGTAGTACCATGTTCTTCTTAGGGAAGAATTTAGCTAGGAAATCAACCAAACATTAAGGGTATGTACAGTTAGAGGGCCAATTTTATTGAAAAAGTTTTTAAGCAAAACCTTATTTGAAGTTTTTAAATTTACTTTAAATTTTTTATTAAATTTTAAACTTTTATTAAAATAAATGAGTTCTTAAACTTGACAATTTAAATAATTTAAGTAATTTAACCTTTTTTTTTATAACAGACTTAATACTAATTTGTATCTTTCTTGTGTGAATAAAGTATTGACATGTTATTATCTAGTGGGTATTGATATTGTCCATGCACGAGGCGTAATCGAGTATTCAGACCCTCTACTTTGATTGTTGGGGCATGTCAATCCCTCTGCTTAAAAGTAGTGCAAATAGACCTTCCTAGTAATCCAAAGCCAAAACCCACAAATCACCCCTTCTGTTAATGATGTCGTTTTTCTATGACAACCTTTATTGTCTCGTTAACCTCCGCTTAGGTGAAATATATATATATATATATATATATATATTTTTTGAACATTTTGACCTGGGACGGGTTTGAAACCGTTTAGGGGAAAAAGAAACGCACATATTTAATGATTAATACTATTGGGCCTTTAAGGTCCGGTGCCTCTGCTTAGGTGATATTAATCGGGCGTGACATGGTAATTTTTACAATCTAGCGCCTTTAATTTATACAGTACTATTTGAAAAATAAATTAAAATCAAAACAATAAAACATGCATATATTGTATTTAATTTTTTTTTGAAGGCATGTAATTAATTATAAAATCAAAATGATTAAATTTTAAAATAGTTTGTCTAACATGTGCCCATGTGCTTTAAGTTTTAAGGACACATATTAACGGTATAATAAATATTTTTTTTTACAATTAATTTACATAAAAATATACAAGTTAACATCTATTTTATCATCATAGCCACATATAAAATTTTAATTAGTCAATTTATTAAATCAAAATCAACATTTATATTTTATATACAACTTAACTACAAAAAGTGTAACTTTTACACCCTTAACATATAAAGATATAGTTTAGAAAAATCGATTTTAAAATTAATAATTTCTTAACATATGTTTTAAGTATACACATTAAATATTTTTATTGTATTTTTTTATCATTATTTGTAATTATTATAGAAAAATAGAAATTTACTTTAATTTTAGGACTATCTAACTAATATCATCCTACATTAAGGTTAACTTGTTGTATTTTCTAATATAAATTAATAAATAAAATAAAAGTACAATAAATACACCGTTAAAATTAATTAA